GTTACTATTTTTTATTTCTTGTGATCATACATTTGCTTTGCGGGGCTTAGATTATTCTAAGAGAGCAACTTATTCCCTGGAGGCATGTATACAGAGAGAGTGTCAAGAAAATAAAGCTTAATTAGCAAAAGATGTGAATTTAAAGCTCATTAAGTCCTTATAAGTGCTTTCCTTCAGAAATAATTTGGTTTTAGTTATGAAGAGGATTGATCTTCTGTGAATTGTTTAGTGGTGGACTTGGCAACGTTAGGTTTATGGCTGGACTCGATCTTAAAGATCTTTTCCAACGTAAATAATTCTACGATTCTATTCTATTCTATGATTTTTGAGGAAGCCTATCTGTACAGGAACTGTGGAAACGTGCGGGGAACAAAAAAAAAGAAAAATAATTGAATACTTATTATATTCATAATCCCCTACAATAACAGCTAAATATTTACAGGAATTGATACACCCACACTGAAAAATTACCTGTGACCCCAATGGTAATAGTAATTTTTTATTATCTATAGTATATGAAATTTATCCTAAGCTTGAACAGTCTCAAATCAGGCATATTGTCTCTTTCTGTTTTTGGTTTTTTGGTTTTTTTTTTGTTATTATAGTTTTCAAATGCTCTACGTTCTTGATTAGCATTGCATATATTTTAATATTACAAATTCCAGTAATCAAGATAGGAGTCTTACGAACTCCATAACATTCAGGCACACAAATAGTATGATGATCTCTGATTCTTTAAATATATCAATCTCCATAAAATTTCATTTAAACCAACCAACAAAAGTATTGAACAACAATGATTTTATCATAATTTAAAATATTTGACATCTAAGAGTAATAGGTAATTTCTTAAAATTAATAGTATCTGATTTTTTTAATTTTAATATTTTTTTAAAAGAACTGAAGCTCTGTTTTTCAAACCTCCTTCGTCCAAAACCATTTTGTGATCTAAGTGGTTCTTTTGCATCTGTCATTCACAGTGGAACAATTCCCTTTCAGTACATTTTAACAGGCAATCTCCTCACAAAACCTTCACGTATTGGGCTGTCAATTCTTTGTCTGTTAGTGGGACTGAAAGGAAGGGACCAACATCCTGTTCCCTTCTAATCTCAGTCATCTAACTAGACTCTTTCTGAAATTTAAATGCTATTATTATACTATTTCATACAATTTTAACACTGAGTCAACTTCAGTAATTTCAGCAAGGTTGTGTATATGTGTAGCACACAAAATTAGTTTAACTGTTCTTGCTTTCTCTGAATTCTTTTACTTTATTTTCTATTTCATATTTTTAAGCCCTCTGTCTACTATTTGCGTTGTCTGTTTTATTGTCACATTAAATATTCCTTTTTCAGTTAAAACATTTTGTCTGCTGGAGTTGAGTTCAAAGTTTAAATTCTGCTCATGCTGAGCATTCTTTGTAGAGCTATAAAATTAAGAGTTGAAGAAAAGTGTGAATATCTGTAGAAGAATGGCCCTGAAATTGTTCATTAAAATGTTTATTGCTGCATGAAGAAAATTGGTTTTGATTGCAAAAAAGAAAAAGGAAAAACTTTATTCATCCTGGTGCCCTAAGATTGAGTATTTAAGTCACAGAATATCCTTTTTCTGTGGAAAAATGCTGATTAAAGGTATGCTATTTTAATCTCAAGACTTATGTATGCAGTGAAGATTCGAACATCCCAACTGTCCAATTATCTGTTTCAGAGAAGTTTAATTTTTTTTTTTTATATCACTACTTTTAGATGTGAGGGTTAGAGGTAGAATATAAAACTGAGGTAATTTTTCTTGCCATTTTTTTATGATACTAGTGATAAATAAAGAATGCAGCATTGTAGCATTAGCCCCTTACAATTACTTTTCAGGTAAAATATAAAATAGGACATTTGTCATTAAAGTATCTTTTTCATTTTTTTAATGAAAAATGGTTACATATGCATTTGTAGCAATTCTCTGACCAGTAATAAGATGTTGATACCTCTGATTTAAATAGGCAAAGGGATTTTCTTTTCACTTGTCATGTTCAGATTGATACAAAATCATGTCAGAAGGTCCAGTCCTTAAGGGAATGTGTATCTGGCTCTGCAGCTCTTGAAAGTTATTCACTCATCTGAAATGGCAATAGTGAGGTTGTATAGATCAAATTATACTTCAGGAGTTTGTATCAACCTGAAGCAGTCTCTTCAAACTTCTAAGATAGTCAGGTTTTCTGGATCGAGTACGTTGTGCCTGATAAAAAGAAGAGTTAACCTACCAAGTAGGTCAGGTGTCAGGTAGGCTGTTTAAAATGAATGAATGTGACAGTAAAAAAGGCAAGTGATGGTTGAGTTACTGTATATTGACTGTAATGGTAGACCATTATTAATATGAAGGAAAGAAACAATGAGGGAATGATCGTTCTCCTGTGACAGTAAAGAATAAAATCTACCTTGGAAACCCTATGCATTTGCTCGATGGCAATACTAGAAATTCAGTTTAGGTTTTGAGTCTACCCATGCAATGCAAAAGTCTTTTTTTCCTGGGAAATCACAAATTCTTTCTGCTGCATACATCATTGCTTCAATGACGTAGATACTCTACTGTTACCTCTTAGCGAATTTGAAGCCATGTTAGTTAGGCACTTTTTAAGGAAGCACTGACCTCCATACATTGGTTTATCTTTAGTGTAAATTCATGGTTTTTACTCTGTAAGTAATAATGATGACTAAATAATCACCTATATTGTCACCTGCTCATAAGAAGAGTGTTGTCGTGGAAGAAAGCATATTTTAGTTAAGAATTCTGTTTGTTTTTTTTTTTTTAAATGAGAAGGTTTTCTACTTGTCTTTGAGGTCTGCTGGTAAATATTTCTTTACTGTTGTAGAACATATGCATTGTTGAATTGTCCAGTAGGTTTATTTCCTGTGTCATAGGCATTGGCCACGTTACTGCCAACATAGTGTAAAGGCTGAAGTATCCAATATGAATAGCTGTATGAACATGAGGAAAATTCAAGTTGCTCTAAGCTTCCCCTTCTCCTTGTAATTCACGCAGAAAAAATGAGGGGTTGGTTGTGAGCTTTTTTTGGGTGCATGGAAGGTAAGTCTTTCAAGTGTGCCACGATGGATGGTTACAGGCTCTTCAGGAGGGATAGGCAGGGCAGGCGAGGCAGGGGGGGTGGCATTGTATGTAGTGGAGGGACTGGAATGCATAGAGGTAGCAGTTGGTGATGGCACAGTTGAGAGCCTCTGGGTAAGGATTAAGGGACAGACAAATAAAGCGGAAGTCGTTGTGGGAGCCTGCTATAGGCCACCCAGCCAGGATGACAACACGGATGAGTTATTCTTTAAGGAACTAAGGGATGCTTCCAAGTCATCTGCCCTTGTCCTTACAGGGGACTTCAACTTGCCAGATGTCAACTGGGAATACCACACAGCTGGTACAAGCAGGTCCAGAAGATTCTTAAAGCATCTGGATGATACCTTCTTGATACAAGTACTAAGGGAACCAACCAGGAAAGGTGCCTTCCTCGACTTGCTGCTTACTAGCAGAGAGGGTCTTGTGGGTGACGTGGCGATTGGTGGCTGCCTTGGCCACAGCAACCACGAAGCCATCAAGTTTAAATCTGTAGTTTAAAAATCTATGAAACTTCCTGCTAGAGCACTATGTATGAAATGCAGAGGGACAGAGCTTGTAAAATCTGTGCATTTTACTGACACAGTATCAATCCTTATGTGCTTTTCTCCCTAACAGACAAATAAGATTATCAGAATTTCAATGGGTTTATAACAAGCACCTCCACAGTACACTTGTGGTAGTATCCTAATAATAGAAATATTATTGGTCTGCTTCCTATAGACATACCCTGCAGTTGTTTCTCAGAGGTCAGGCTACTTAATTTTATGCTTGTTCTGGAAAATTTTTGGAAGCAGTATATGGTTTATCTTCAGTTTTAGTTTGGAGAATGTTAAAAACTTCTGGAACAAAACACCAGAACATCAGTTTCTGTAGAAGACTACCTACATTTGAAGTCATCTTTTTTTCCTTTTCCTTTTATCTTTTATCTTTTTTCTTTTTTTCTTTTTTTTTACCTTAAATACATTGACTTAATAATTAACTACTGAAGTGAACCGATTACATGATCTCAGTTGTATGCCTTTGCTTAATCAAATCCTTAGTGACTTAAATCACTGAATAGGATTATTTTTTCTCTCTTACAGGGAAGGTAAATTTAATTAAAGTGTCAGTATTACCTAATGCAATTATTTTTCCAGAGTATAACAGAGATTATTTCAGACAGCTTAAAAAGCAAACAGCACTTGGAGGTTATTATGACTAAACTGATCTGTTGTTTAGGGGTACTGCAGAAATCTTTAAAAATTTTCTTCTTTGAATCCATAGCTCATGAAAGTAGTAAGAGGGTTTTATTTGCTTTTGAAGGACATTATAATGATTAACAATAGTAATAAATCAGATTAATCAGTGCATAAATCTTAATCACATCGGTCTGTGACTCCAATTTTTGTTGTTCAGAATATCAAAGTTGTTATTGATGGCTGTGCAGGTGAGACTACAGTATAAATACTGTATTTTCCAGGGAGTTTGTAGTATTTACTTAGTTTGAAAGCCTTAGACTCTGGAGTCTTTAATCACATGCATTTGAATCTAAGCACAAATGTGCTGTCTCCCCTTTCTTCCATGCCCTATTTTTCTTATAATTAAATGAGCTGGTATGCCACCTTGGTATCTTACACTCCATATAGTTAAAAGGAGGAAGGCCTAGGCCCCTGTTGTAAATGTATTGGATCATCAGTGAGAGTGTCTTGATTTCATGGAGTAACTGAGTGCCTGTATTCCAAACTTGCTAAAGTTGGATTCTATGAGTATCTCTGATATGTTTCCCTTTCATGAAAAATAAAGAAATCTCATTATACGTGATTCCGAAAAGTTTAACAGTTTTTATAAGTTATGTATGTGTACAGATTTCACATTATTTCTTTCTATCATATTTGTCTCAATAGCTAAGAAATCTTTCCAGCTTGGATCTACGTCATATCACAGAACTGGACAATGAAACCGTGATGGAAATAGTAAAGAGATGCAAAAACCTTAATTCCCTCAATCTGTGTCTGAACTGGATCATTAATGACAGGTAACTTCATTATAGCATCTAAAACCAGTATAAAGCAAATTTAACTAGTTGTATTAGTTGAGAATAATTCCTCATGGCTCGGGGGTTGGAGGAGATCAGTAAAAGCAAGCAGTGTTTTCTGAGTGTTTATTCTTGCTTGTTTTGGGTAAATCATCTAGACATGTTTTACAGAGTATTTGTATATTTCTGTAGTGGAGAAAAGTTTAGCTATAACTGGATGGCAGCACTAATCTGTTCCCTGTAGATTTCATGAGAATGTGCTATTTACTGTGTGTGATTGAAATGTACAATTGCAATTATGACTCCTTCAGTAGGTAGCCAGGATTTAAACAGATTTATATGCATACAAACAATGGAGCATACTTTTGATTACATAAGGAAAAATAAAGTGCTCATGGGTTAAGTAGTGGAATTCATGTTTTTTTAGAAAGCAACAAGTCCTTCATTTTTTGGCAAAGAGACTCTCCAGAATGAGACTGAGAGAATAACTGGTGTATTACCTTAGGCTTTTCCTTTTGACGAGAATACCTGCTATCCTGCTGTATTCTGTCCTTTTGATCAAGTAATTTATTTTAACATTAAGTAAATACACACAGATGATGTTTAGTTATATTGCAGATCAGATGAAAAATGAAAAATACTGAGAATTTAAAAAGTGGAAGTTTCCTTTTAAAATGGGAAAATTGAGCAAAGCCACTACCTCCAGGTTCACAGGAAAGAACATTTTAAATTCCTTTTAACAGATTGGTTTATTATAACTGCTGCTTTAAACAAAAGGAAAGAGACACTTTTAACAGAGACGAGTTCTAAAACATTTTCATATAAACCAGAATGATGTATTTTAGCAATTGTACTTCTTCCCCATTGTTATAGACCTTTTTTTTCCTAACATACGCTCTTTCAAGGTTTTCTGAAGTCTTTAAGAATGTACTAAAGTGTAAATGAGCTTAGACTTTGATGAAATTATCATGTTCTAAAAATACTAAAATTGAAATGTGTTGACTAGGAAGTACCATTGAACTTTCCCTATAACTCCTTTTAGCCTTTAAGACTGTTTTTTGGTTTTGCAGGTTTAGGTCAAACACTTAAGGTAACTTCAATGGTTTTGAAAGCATTCAGTTGCCTCAGATCTTTCTGTCTGTAGGGCCTTATTTTCATATGCAGAATAAGGCTACTATAATGGAAAATTTTACAATAAAATACTTAGAAAATTTTAGAAAAAATACTAAGAAAAATGTGAATTTAAAAGACAGGCACTTTTCAGGTTTTAATTGAAGTACTTAGAAATGGTATAACTTTCTGCATGAACGCTTTGAGTAGGACAATCTGCTAAGTATCATCCAAACTGATGTCAAACTGTTCTTGAAATTACTTTGCTAGAATTACTAGAATAAGAAATACATCTTATAATTATATGCGTATGACTCTAAAACTTCATATTAAATATAGTTAGAATTATGAAGCTTAACAAGAAAAGGAAACCCTTTCCAGCAATGACAGATAACCTGCTGTTGTATGTAAACTTTTAGATCATTGACTTTTGTCTGTGTAGTTCTTTCCGTTTTGTGTTTATTTCTGATCATACCCATCAGTACTTTTTCAACATGTGACTGATAACTAAAACTTGACTACAAATTTAAGTTTAGCTATTTAAATTGGCCTCTAGCTAAAAGCAAACAAAGAGAGACTTTAGAAAATAATTAATGCCTTTGTTAAATCTTATTCATAGGCAGTCATTTGGCAATTCAAGTATTTTTCCTATTTTATAAGTGATATGAAGCTCCAAATACTAGTCTTAAGTGAATAAAGTAATTTCCCCTACTCCTCCTAAATGCTGAATTAAGAATTGCTGAAAATTCTATAAAAGGAACGTGATATAACCTCTGGGCTTTAATCAATGTAGAGACTGGTTTAGCAGAGTATTATTAGCATATTCACTTTGAGGGTATGAGTGATCCTTCAGAATTTCACAGGACTGTTCAGGTACTTACCTTGGGTAAAAACTCAACTTAGTTTAAACTAGTTAAATTAGTTTATTAATGATTTAATGCAAGATGAGCTTTTCTTTTTTTATTTGATGGCGCCTAGTCAGAGAGGATGTCAGAGGATATTCTGCGTCTTAATACCTTTGAGTAAACCTTTTGTTTATCATTGTCTCCAACACATATGAGATAGTAGCAGTCTAATGTTTTACCTGACTCCTGGTTTTAAAACAGAGAGATCAGTTCCACCACCTCAGCCCCCCACTCCCCATTATCAAGCCTACTTCCTTGTGAGATCCAACTACATAGGGCTTGTATTCCAGATTTTTTTTCAAACTTAGCAAGACACTTTTTTGTTCTCTCTAGAATGACTGAGGGTTGTTTTTTTTTTTTCTTTCTTTTCTTTAAAGCCTTGAAAAACTGTTTTCCTCCATTCCTTTGTGCAAAATCAAGGGTGAAAGAAAACTAGAAAGTTCTCAAAAACACTGGTATAGATGAAAGATCTGTCTGTGAATTATCTCTTAAAGTTAGTTCATTATTGGTAGGTTTTACAGCAGAAGTAAATCACTGGTTTTAAAACTTTATTTTAGATTTCTTTATTGTTTCCAGAAATCCATAAAAATTCTTTCAATAAGCAAGGCTGTGGCCCCAGAATATTTATAGCACTCTTTTACTTGTGACACAGTGTTAGATCTAATGCTGTGACCGTTACATTTCTTGCAAAGTAGCTGAAAGGAACTGAAACTTAGAGTGTAAGATCTCTGCATGGCAGGCAGTTGCTAAGATTTTTGGTGCTGTGATTCTTTTGCACATGCAATAAGTTAACAAGAACTATTATTTCTCTGTTTTGATTAAAGCTATTTTTGTTTTTGAAAGTATGCATCTAAAAGGCTTATGTAGGGCAGTAAAAAATAATTTATTTTTACCTAAGGCAAAAAATATGTTCAGTTGAGATACTCTTGCCATTAGTTTTAAAATGAGAGAAAATAGGTCTCTTATAATGACTTGTAAAAAAAAGTCTTTAAATTTGAGAGTTAAGCAAGATCAAAAAAAGACCTATTAAAATAATCTAACATAATGATGTCTTCTGGAAGTATTACAGCTCCCTCAAAAGTTTCATATACTATTTATCATGTTGGTTAAATATGTTATAGAAACAGTCTTACTACTTCTTTCAAATATGAACAAAACCAAATTTGCAAATTCTTCTAGTATGCATCATGAGTAGATTAGCTCAGATCTTTGCAGTTGGAATGAAGTAAAAGTGAGTTTTCTGTACATGGTGGTGTAAATAATACACTCTGAGGCTTGATTTAAATAACCTTATCACCCTGAAGTTGTCTTAATGGTCACTGCATGTGTTCTTCTGAATTTCAATTGATACAATCAAAATAGTGACATCTAGAAATAAATCTCATGGAGGATTCAGGAAAATGTAGTATGACATACTGGGAAAGTTTTCAAGGGAGAGTGCTTTTTCTAATAGTTTGAGGAACATGTGGTATGGATTATTATTATTATATCCATAAATAACCAAGGAGCAAGCAGCAGTTAATCTAACATTTTTTTGTGAATCTTATCACTGTGAACTTTGAGTAGCAATTCACTTCAACTTCTGTATTACATAATTCATGTAGAGATAGACACTTAAAAACTGTGCAGTGACTGTGAAGTCTTTAGAGTATTTCTGCTTGCTTAAGTCATCCTTCTTACTAAAGCACTCCCTTAGTAGTATTTGTATACAGGATGTTTGCCAGCCCATGTTGTATCTATGGTTCTTCTAATAAACATAATGGTGCAGGGGCTTGTGTAGGTAAGGTAATGAACTTTATCTAGAGCTACAGTCAGATTTTTTTGGTGCCATAGCACTGCCAGTCATCCAGGATAAGATTCCACCTGTGTAACGAAATTAATGTTTGGTTTTGCAATCAGAGGACAATAATTTCCCAACCATTCAAGAACTTTGGTCCTCCTTCTGTAGGTGGTGCCAAGCGTTCTTGTAATAATGCCTCAATAAAGCTGTATTTTTTCACATAATTTATCACACACTGATTGCAGTGTGACTTTTTTAGCAGGTGCTGAGGTTTGCAGATCATCTGGAGGTTGCCAAGAGTAAGCTATGGTTGTGACTTGGAGGCAGATATGCAGTATCTGCATGGCACAGTAAAAAAGCGAGTAATGTTGGTCGATGACCTTGTAGTGGTATTGCTTACCGCCATCAGACTTCTGATTAGTGATGTGGGGGAAGATAAGCATTACGTGCACCTCCCTGAGCTTTCAGCACAGATGGGAAACCTGGATTTGTTCTAATTATACCAGTTCTGAGAAAGTTGCTGTCCTTCTGTAGTGCTTCCATGAAATATCACTGTGGATAAACCAGAGTAAATGGTGTAATGGGACAGTCTCCCCATACTGTAATGATTAAGACTTGTTGGTGAGGATTCTGGTTGGAGTCAAAGATGGAGGAACTTGGAAGCACGGACTTCTGATAGTCAGGAAGTCGAGACATTGAAGAAATTCAGAGGAAACATGATAAATGGTTGAAAGCCAGACCATAAGCCTGAAAACCAAAATGTTTGTGCTGCAGCACAGTTAGGAGAAAGGAGCATTTTCTCCTTTGAAGAGGCTCCATCTGCTTTATTCTGCTGGGTCAGTAATGCAGCATCATTTTCTCAGGACTTGTTGGCATAGAGCATATGGGGGGTTCTGCAATGTCACTTAGCAGAGAAAATTGTTAACATGGTCTTCCATATGCTAGAGAAGTGTTTAAAAAATTTCTGTTGCCTGCCTACCATGAGTTCCTGTGAACCCATGTAATAAGCCTTGGGAGCATCTGCTGTGATCTGAATGTGTTGTGGGTAGAGGATACAATGCTGAAGATGGTCTCAGCAGGTGATTAGCTTGCTATGTTTAGTCCCAGAGCTGCTGGTGTATGTGAATGCCCCAACATTTCATTAGCAGACATAAGCATCAAAATAGTAGCTCAGTTCTTACAGTATATTTTTAATAAAATGCAGG